AAAAAAAAAAAAAAAAAAAAAAAATTCACCATTTTAACCATTTTTAAGTGTATGGTTCAGCGCATTAGGTGCATTCACACTATTGTAAAACTATGACCACCGTCCATCTCCAGAACTTTTTTTTTTTTGTATTTTTACTAGAGAAAGGGTTTCACCGTGTTGGTCAGGCTGGTCTCAAACTCCTGACCTTGTGATCCGCCCACCTCGGCCTCCCAAAGTGCTGGGATTACAGGCATGAGCCATTGCGTCGGCCTTTAGAACCCATTTTTTTTTTTTTTTTTTTTAATTAATAGCTGCTTAGTATTCCGTTGTGTGGATGCACCACATATTCTATGGAACAGCAGCTACTGATGAACATTTAGTTTGTTTTCAATCTTTTGCTGTTACAGATGTTACAGTAAATAATTGTGTACACATACACACTCTCTCACACTTTAATTTGCATATGTGCACCGGGAATATCTGTAGGATAAATTTCCCAAGGCATCACTAGGTCAAAGTGATTTGTGTTTCTCATCTTGATAAATAATTCCAAGTTGCCTTCCACAGGAGTTGTATACTTTTCCTTCCACACTGTGGACAACACAGTGTTATCACACTTTATGACCTTTGCCTGTCTGTATGGAAAATGATAGTGACGTTTTTCTCTTTTCCATTTAAATATCTTGTCGAATGTTGAGGCATTTGTATTTCCTTTTCTGATCATTGTTTTCATATCCTTTGACTGATTTTCTGCAGGGTTGGTTGAGTGTATCCACACTTATTCTCCTTCCCAGATTATTTACTAGCAAATTCCGGAAATAGCATTTTGTATGTAAACCCTTCTGTATCTATGTATTTCTCTAAGAGAATGACCCCTTCCCCTTTTTAAAGGGCAATACAATTATACCTAAAACAGTTAACTAAAGGAAATGAGATGGGTTTTTTTTGGCTGTTTACAAACAGGATTGAAAGGGGCTCTGGGCTGGGCGCAGTGGCTCACTCCTGTAATCCCAGCACTTTGGGAGGCTGAGGCAGGTGGATCACCTGAGGTCAGGAGTTCAAGACCAGCCTAGCTAACATGGTAAAACCTCGTCTCTACTAAAAATACAAAAATTAGCCAGGCATGGTGGTTGGCGCCTGTAATCCCAGCTACTCAAGAGGCTGAGGCAGGAGAATCACTTGAACCCAGGAGGCGAAGGTTGCGGTGAGCCAAGATCGAGCCACTGCACTCCAGCCTGGCCAACAGAGTGAGACTCCGTCTCAAGAAAAAAAAAAGAAAGGAGGCTCTGCTTCAGTGCCCTGCTTACAGCTGACAGTTTGTGGCCACACTGAAGCAACCCAGTCCCCTGGGTCTTGCAGACACCTGTCCTGCGGTTTTCTCATGGTGGGGCTGTTGTTCCCTTCATTTGTGCTCTTAAGATTTAGCCAAGGTGCGAGAGCCTCTGTGACATCAGATACAAGCCTTATATGTCCATCAATTCTTTTGAACTTGGCAGATGCCTGAAATATGCTATTATCATCCCCTCCACTTGTAGTTGAGGATGCTAAAGCCCAGAGAGACAGTGACTTGTACAGTGAAATCCCTCACTCGGGGATTTCAGCCCAGCTGTCCGCCCATTTCACCACACCAGAGCTGCCTTGATGAGTTGCTGCAAATGCCATCCTCAGCCTGACCTGTACAGTCCCTTCTGCCTTATAAACCTGTACTCTCTCTTCCCTTCTAGGTGTGTTCCGGGGTGGTCATGACATCCTGGTGCGTGCCCGGCTGCTGCTTTTGGACACAGTTACAATGCAGGTGACAGCCAGAAGTTTGGAGGAGCTGCCAGTAGACATCATCTTGGCATCTGTGGGCTAAGGGGCCAGCTTGCATAGGACCTTATACCCTTCCCCAACACTACCTGGATAGTTGTGCCTTCCTCATGAAACTATCAGAAACCCCTTCCCAAGGTTCTGTATTCAAAAACAATTAGGAATCATTGCAGATATATTTTTTTTTATTCTGTCCCCCTACCTGGGACTATTTGGGAGTGATTTTTTTTTTGTTTGTTTAATAGGGGATGATTTTAGCTTGTCCTAAATCTTGCTATCCTCCCTTCCAGGAAAGGGACATTGTAAATGAATAAAACATTCTCAACTCCTCTTGAATTTATCCCCCAAGAAACTATCTCTGTAATAAATCAGCATGTATTTATTGAATGATTGCTACTTCTTCGGACTCATGCTTCAGGACTCCACCTTCCCCTTCAAGGCCTCCCACGGAACACCTGCCCTGTCCCCCTTGTACCCACAACCCTTTGGCTGTTGTAGTCCTGTGAGGCCGGACCCTCTCCCCGTCATCGCTGTCCATGCACCAAGCCCCGGCGTGGGAGCGATGCAAGTCGGTTGAGTGAATCAGCTAACAGGCACTGAGTTCACACTCCCTCCCATTCGCACTTCTTCGCAATGCACCCTCCTTTGATAGTTGATATAGAGGCTCCAAAGGGCTCGGGTCCAGCGTCAGGCCATTACCCAGCCTCAGGTCCCACGTAGAGTGTGCTCTGGGGTTTCTGCTCCCTGTTCAGTTCAGCGAATCAGCATAGGCGAAGAACAGCTCTCCAGAGCATTCCCTGTGGACTGCCAAGAAGAAATCGGGTTTCCATCCCACGGGGAGAAGGCTTATAAGCTCAAGCCAGGTTATTTTACCAACTTTGAGGCCAAAGTAGACCCATCAAGACTGTTTTAAAAATCGGCCTCACCCTTAGAGATTCAGCTGGTGGGGTGGAGATTGTAGGGGCAGGACAGTCCCATCGTGCCCACCACCGTTTTGAGGGCGATATGCGCGATTCCTGGAAGTTCTCCTGGCTTCCATTTCTTCTCCAGTGTTCCTGCATTTTTGCCTCGCACTGTGAGGCAGCTGGAAGGACTGTGAAGTTAGGAGTGGAGTTTCCTGGTTTCCCGCCTTTGATGACCCAGTGCCCTGGAGTCAGCGCGGCGGGAACCTTCCCCGCCGGCCCTGCGGCTCGCGCTGGGGGCGGGGAGGAAGGTTAACCCCGCCAGGGAACCGGCCAATATGGAGGAAAGTGGAGCCCAGAGTAGCTTGAGATCGAAGCGTCCTCCAAGGCAGTCACCATCTCCCGGGGAAATGGGAGAAGATTCATCCCAAACCCGAGGAAAGAAGACGCAGCACCCGGGACTCTAGGGCGCCTCGCGAACCACTAGCCCCTGGGGGCGGGGCCTAGCGTCGGGAGCGCGGGCAGAGGCGGCGTGACGTGAGGGGCGGCCTAAGGGGAGGGGAGCGGAGCGGAGGGAGGCGGCTGGGGAGGCTGTGGGGAGGTGAGGGGAGAGGAAGCAACGCCAGCGGCCGGGGTGTTGGGGAGCGGAGAGGAGGTGAAGCGACGCCGGAGGACCGAAGGGTGCGGAGGCACTAGCGGACACGAGGGGACGCTGAGAGGGCGGCGTGGGCCGAAGTGAGGTGACGCGGGGCGGCAGAGTCTGAGGGCCGGAGCGGAGGGGAGGCGACGCGGGGAGGGGCGAGGGTAGCGGCCAGCAACTAGGAGCCACCTGCTCCCCGAGAACCGGCCCCCGCTCCGGGGAGCAGAGTCCGGAGCCAGGTCCGCGGCCCTCAGGTTCGCAGTTCGGGCCTGGCGGCGCTGCGGACATGCGGGCGGGAGGCGGGGGTTCTGCGGGCCGCTCCGGGGCTGTCCAGTGGCCGCCCTCGAGGTGAGCGGGTGCTGACAGGCGTGGGGCGCTGACCCCAGTGGGGATGGGGGGGAAGGACAGGGAGTTAGGGGTACCGAGTCGCCGGAGGAGGCGACCCCTGCTAGCTGCGCTTTCCCTGCTTGGCTGAACCGTGAAGCCCCCTCCGCGGCGGCTCTTCCCGCGCTCAGGCAGGCTGTTGCGGAGCTCCTCCCGGGACTTGCCTCCGTGCCCTGCACGGAGCTGGGCAGTGGGCCCAGGGAGCGAAGCAAACAGGCACATCCTTGTCCTTGTGGGACGTCTCGGGGAAGACTTTAGACGGTGGTCACGGAGTGGCAGGGCGCGGTGGGAACGGAAAGAGAAGGCCGTTCAAGGAATAATACCTCGTATTTGAGATACGTAATCCTTTTCCTTACGTTTTGTGATTAAAGGTTTCGAGGGGCGGTGTTGAAGAATGTGTGGACGAACATCCTGTCACTTACCTATAGAGGTTCTCACCAGAGCTTGTGCCTACCAGGATCGGCGGGGCCAGCAGCGGCTCCCAGAATGGAGGGACCCTGATAAGTACTGCCCCTCTTACAACAAGAGTCCTCAATCCAACAGCCCAGTGCTTCTGTCTCGACTGCACTTTGAGAAGGTAACCAGCTTTGCACCATGCTAGCCCCTCGCCCAGATGGTCGTCGTCTCCTATTTGGTTTGGTCTGTGCTCAGCCTCTTGGGATGACATTAAAAACCAGCCTTTACTGATACATTCTGACTTCCAGTTCAGAACCCCTCTTGGCCTCATGCAAGAAGTTTTATCAGTGTATTCTAACACTGATAAAGATGTATTTTTCAGCGTTTTTCAGGTTTAATTTAAATGCCTTTTCTATACAAGGCATACTAGCCTTAATATATGCCAAATTTATATGAGCTTTGTGTTTTAAAATAGCAGCTTTCATACCTCACTGATCATCAGGGTCATTGGAGTATCTTTAAAAAAAACAAAATTAAGGCCAGTTGCCCAGGCTCATGCCTGTAACCCCAGCACTTTGGGAAGCTGAGGTGGGAGGATCACTTGAGCCAAGAAGTTTGAGACCAGTCTGGGCAACATAGTGAGACCCCCATCTCTGCAAAAAATTTAAAAATGAGGCGGGAAGATCACCTGAGCTGGGGAAGTCGCAGCTTCAATGAGCCATGGTTGTATCACTTGCACTCCCACCTGGCTGACAGATCAAGACCCTACCTAAAAAATAAATTTTAAAAATTAATGTCTTTATACCCCTTACCAAGCCAGCAGAATCAGACTTTGTAGGTCTAGGACAGGCTTAAGATCAGTTAATTTAAAACACTTCTGATGTTTTTTGAACATTGAAAAGTTTTATCCTTTTTGCTTGTGTTTTCAGTCTTATTTATGTTTGTCTTTTACGAAAGCTAGAAACATGTATTTAGTTTGGTTGTCTGAGGTTTAATTGCAGTCATTGTGTTTATAGTATTTAATGCTGTAGGGTTGGAATTACCAGTCAGTTACATTCATATCTTAGTTCTTCACCTTATCTCCTGAAAGTGTGTGTGTGTGTGTGTGTGTGTATGTGTGTGTAATAAAATGTTCCGTTCTAGAAAGTAATAGTTTCTCGATGTCTTAAATATTTTAAATGACCTTGACATGTTTTTAAAAATCACGATTGTTTCCTTCCTGAATTTTTACTCTATTTGATCCATAATACTGAAGTCACTTTATAAAGTTGATTATACCTCTGGTACTTATTATTTTTTTGTTTGTTTGATTTGAGACAGAGTTTGGCTTGTGCTGCTTAGGCTGGAGTGTAATGGTGCTATCTCAGCTCATCACAACCTCCACCTCCCGGGTTCAAGCAATTCTCCTGCCCCAGCCTTCTGAGTACCTGGGATTACAGGCATGTGCCACCATGCCCTGCTAATTTTTTTATGTTTTTAGTAGACACGGGGTTTCTCCATGTTGGTCAGGGTGATCTCAAACCCCTGACCTCAGGTGATCTGCCCACCTCAGCCCCCCAAAGTGTTGGGATTACAGGTGTGAACCACGGTACCCGACATGGTACATACTCTTTAGAACTTTTGTGATAATATGATAGTCAAAAAGGACTAATTTCTGCGTTATATCACATTATTTTGAAATAAGGGTAACAGGCTGGGCCTGGTGGCTTGTGCCTGTAATCCCAACACTTTGGGAGGCTGAGGCAGGTGGATCACCTGAGGTCAGGAGTTTGAGACCAGCCTGGCCAACATGGTGAAACCCTGTCTTTACTGAAAATACAAAAATTAGCCAGCTGTAGTGGTGGGTGCCTGTAATCCCAGCTACTTGGGAGGCTGAGGCAGAAGAATGACTTGAACCTGGGAGGCAAAGGTTGTGGTGAGCCAAGATCACACCACTGCACTCTGGCCTGGTCAACAGAGTGAGACTCTGTCTAATAAATAAATAAAGATAACATATAACAGCTGGGTGCAGTGGCTTATGCCTGTAACCCCACCATTTTGGGAGTTCTAGGCATGTGGATCACTTGAAGTCAGGAGTTCAAGATCAGCCTGGCCAACATGGTGAAACCTTGTCTCTATTGAAAAAAACAGAAAAATTTACCTAGGCATGGCGGCATGCTCCTGTAGTCCCAGCTACTCAGGAGGCTGAGGCAGGAGAATCACTTGAACCTGGGAGGCAGAGATTGCAGTGAATTGAGAATGTGCCACTGCACTTCAGCCTGGGCGACAGAGCGAGACTCAGTCTCACAAAAAAAAAAAAAAAAAAAAAGCAAATAACATTAATCTTTTTGGTTGAATGAAGCCATTTATATGAAATATTTATTTTTGAGTCCTTTTTAGAGGATACATACTTCCCTATTAAAACTTTTATTTTAAATGAGAGAGGAATCAAAATATCCTGGTGAACCTTGAAGGGGAAAAGAGAGCATGAAACATACTTCAAAGGAAGGCATAATTTAGAGTGAGAATAGAGAGCAGGATTAAGTGTATGAGCCTAGCCAGACCTGGTGGCTTAGGCCTGTAATCCTAGCACTTTGGGGAAGCTGAGGCAGGAGGATTGCTTGAGACCAGGATTTCAAGACACCAGCCTGAGCAAATGAGACCCTATTTTTAACAAACAAACAAAAAATGAGCCTTAATCATTTATATGACCTCCTTAGAATTATAGAAAGTTAGCTGGAAGAAAAATTTGTTTAACAGATGTAAAGATAGAAATATAGAAAGATTATAACTTGTCCTAGGTTACCTAATCAGTGAAGGACAGAGCTAGAACTGAGATCCAGACCACCATCCCCACTCTAGTGGAGGCATGCAGGAACCAGGAATGGGGAAGGTGGAGCCCCTAGCAAATATAGCCCTCATTTGGGTCAGTGGTATGAATTTGCTGAGTCGTATTTGATTCCACATCTCTAACAAGTTTTGTTAAGATTGCTAGGGTTTCTTAATTTTGATAATATTTGGTATCTCATTTTCTCAAACTTATAAAGGAAAATTAAAACCATTTTGGTAGTTCATTCAAATCATCAACGGCCTGCATATGTATATAGATTGCAGCATTTTCATTTGAAACCACAGATTTGCAAATTATTTCCTCTTTCATTTACCCACTTCAGTGCTACCAGCTGTTCTGTTCAGAAGTCCAAAAGGGTAGAGGAAAGATGACTAATATTGAGCAATGTTTTTAGTGTTTTGGCTTCTCAACTACTTTCTATGATCATTCTCACATTTGGGTTTGGTTTACAGTGGTCAAGTGCATACTCTCAAAGATGATCAGTGGAATTTGTGAGAACAGAGTTCTCAACCTTGACACCATTGACAGTTTTGGCCAGGATAATTTTTTGTTATAGGAAGCTATTCTGGGCGTTGTAGAGCATTTAGCAACATCCTTTACCAGCTAGATGTCAGTAGCATCCCCCAGATAAGAACAACAGAAGGTATCTTCAGCTAATTGCCAGAAGTCCCCGGATGATAGGGAGGGGTGTGTCCAAGTTGTCTTGTAGTGAGAACCACAGATTTTTCAGTATTGTCTTGCAAGTTTCTGATGAGAGATTTAGTTGACCATTGCGTAATGTTGTCTCTTATTATTTATGCATTGAGCTGGGGGTCCTTCTGCTTAGAAGACTTTTTTTTTTTTTTTTTTTTTTGGACACAGGATCTTGCTGGGTTGCCCAGGCTGGATGGAGTGCAGTGGGCCAATCATGGCTGACTGTAACCTTGACCTCCTGGGCTCAATCAGTCCTGTTGCCTCAGTCTTCCCAGCAGCTGGGATCACAGGCTTTGCCATTTTGAGGTTTAAGGGGGAAGTTCTCACTATGTGGCTCAAGCTGGTCTCAAAACTTTTGAGTCATACCTGTAATCCCAGCACTTTGGGAGGCGGAGGCGGAGGCGGGTGGATCACTTGAGATTAGGAGTTCGAGACCATCCTGACCAACATGGTGAAACCCTGTCTCTACTAAAAATACAAAATTAACCGGGCATAGTGGCGCATGCCTGTAATCCCAGCTACTTGGGAGGCTGAGGCAGGAGAATCGCTTGAACCGAAGAGACAGAGGTTGCATTGAGCCCGAGATCTTGCCACTGCATTCCAGCCTGGGCAACAGAGCAAGACTCGATCTCAAAATAAAGATAATTAATGTATACAGCAGGCAGGATTCTGGAAGAAGCAGAACTGGATTTTATCAGGAACATAGTAGAGGGATTAGCTTTTAAACAAAAGGAAGCCCTTCTCCTGAACCTTCCAGTACTGGTGATTCTTTTCTCCAGATTCCATCCTCTCCTGACTTTCTTCAGTCTACTTTTATCTTAGTAGTACTTTTACTTAGAACTCTGCCTTTACCCTCATTTCTACTTCTATTTTTTATTTATTTATTTATTTTTCCATTTTATTTTATTTCATTTCTTCTTTTAACAAAATTTTTTGTATCCCCAGGTTAAGGCCTGTGCATGATATACCCTCTAAGAAACTTTATCTTCATGGCATTAATAATCATCTTTTTACAGATAATTTTATGATTTGTTTTTAATCCTTACTTTAGAAAAATATTATACTACAATTTAAGTCCCTACTCCATGCCACACATTTTAACTATATTATCTTTCATTCTTGAAAATTGTACTACGAGGTAAGTATTGTTCATTCTGTTTTTTGGATAAGGAAAGTTGAGGGCCCAAGAAATTGAGACTAGTCCAACCTGCTAAGTAGCAGGAAAGGATTTTTTTTTTCTGTTACTTAGGCTAGAGTGCAGGGGCGCATTCTAAGTTCACTGCAACCTGCATCTCCCAGGCTCAAGTGATTCTTGTTGTGCCTTAGCCTCCCAAGTAACTGGGATTACAGGCACACACCACCATACCCAGCTAATTTTTGTATTTTTAGTAAAGATGGGGTTTCGTCATGTTGGCCAGGCTGGTCTTGAACTCCTGACCTCAAGTGATCCACTTGCCTCAGCCTCCCAAAGTCCTGGGATTACAGGTGTGAGCTACCATGCCTGGCTCAGAGAAAGGCTTTTTGAATCAGGATCTCCTTGCAAAGACCTTGCTCTTTCCTCTATAACAGAGATTGGCAAACTACGGTCCTCAGACCAAATCTGGCCTATTGCCTGTTTATGTAAATAAAGTTTTATTAGATCACAGCTGCTATGGTTTCAGTGTCTGTGTCCTTGAAAAATGCATATGTTAATCCTAACCCCCAGGACGATGGTATTAGGAGGTAGGGCCTTTGGGAAGTCAGAGCCTTCATGATTGGGATTAGTGCCCTTATAAAAGACACCACAGAGAGCTAGCTCATTCCATCTACCATGTGATGACAAAGCGAGAAGGGACCATCTGTGAACCAGAAAGTGGACCCTCACCAGACACCAAATATACTGGCACCTTAATCCCAGCTTTCAGAACTGTGATATAAATCATATAGTATCACTTGTGCCACATTCTGTTGGTTACAAGCCCATCCAGATTCAAGGGGAAGTGAGTTACAAGCCCGTCCAGATTCAAGGGGGAATGAACATAGATTCCCAACTCTCAGTGAGAGTCAGATTTTGCAACCATTTTTTGAAAACTGCCAGAGACTTCTCACTAGTATCAGAAGTTCAACACATGATCTTCTTAAAACCCTTCATCAACTGATGAAACCTTTCATAAGCTTTTTTTCTTCTCTGTTCAGTAGTACCATCATTATTTCACTCTTCTAGGTTTGAAAACTTAATCATACCTGCTTTGTTTCATCCAAATCCATTTGTACTACAATTTCATTTTTTAAAAATCTTTTAGATATCACTGTTATTCTCACTGCCATTGCCAGACCCCTGAACCATTGTAGTAACACCCCAAAATGCACTCTCTGCTCACCTGTGTCATCCAACCCAGAGTGTACTATGCCGTGCCATGCATAATAATGTATATGTGCTTCTTAATCTGTAGATTTCATTAAATTATCAAGGGGCCCCTTATTCAAAAAAGTTTGACAGCCATGCATTGGGAGTCCCCAAGACTGCTGCCATATTTAGAGATTCATTAGGGGCGAAACATATAAGGCGTATTGTGTCTAAGGTTTATTAGTGAAAGGACACAACAGAATCAGCAAAGGAAAAAGATACTAGTAGAAATCTGGAAAAAATCATGCACAGGTTTCCTTATGTTCTCCTTGTGGGAAGATACTCTAAGCATGTTACTTTCTTCAGCAATGAAAAAATGTAGTAATGTATCTACAGTGTTTTTGTTTGTTTTGTTTGTTTTGTTTTTGAGAGAAGGTCTCGCTCTGTCATCCAGGCTGGAGTGCAGTGGCTCAATCACAGCTCACTAGCAGCCTCGACTTCCTAGGCTCCAGTGGTCCTCCTACCTCTGCCTTCCAAGTAGCTGGAGCTACAGGTGCATGCCATCACACCTGGATAATTTTTTGGGTTTTTTTTTTTTTTTTTAAGAAACAGGAGTTTGCCATGTTGCCCAAGCTAGTATGTACAATGTTTATGCCCAGAGAAACCCATTAGAGACTCAGGGTCCAAGATCTTTATTGGAGGCTGATTAGGTAGGCACTCTGACTAGCAGGTACCAAAACTTCAGACTCCCAGAAGGAAAACAGGTATTTGGCATAAACTTTATTGTTTACACAGACTAGGCAAAATAATCCACCCTTATGAGTTGGGGAAAGGTAGGAACACTCTCAAAATCTAGTTCTGAGATGTTAATCGAGGGCCAACCTTGTATATAGGTTTTCCTAAAAATAGTGTCCTCCAGTGCTTTGAGAGACTGAGGCAGGAAAATCACTTCAGTATAAGAGTTCAAGACCAGCCTGAGCAAAACAGTAAGACCTCATCTCTACAGAAAATTAACAAATTAGCTGGGCATGGTGGTGTGTACCTGTAGTCCCAGCTACTTGGGAGACGGAAGCAGTACGATCATGTGAGGCCAGGAGTTCAAGGTTGCAGTGAGCTATGATTGTGCCACCGCACCCCAGCCTGGGCAACAGAGCAAAGCCTGTCTTCTTTGCATCCCTCTACCTTATCAAGCAGAATGTCTTACATTCTAGTAAATATGATTACTAAAGAACTAAAGTTACCTACATCATGATAAATCATTAAATTGTTTTTGGCTGGGTGTGGTGGCTCACACCCATAATCCCAACACTTTGGGAGGCTGAGGTGGGCAAATCACTTGAGCCCAGGAGTTCAAGACCAGCCTGGGCAACATAGTGAAACCCCGTCTCTATAAAAAATACAAAAATTAGCTGGGTGGGGTGGCATGTGTCTGTAGTCCCAGCTACTTGGGAGGCTGAGGTGGAATGATGTCTTAAGCCCAGGAGGTGGAGGTTGCAGTGAGCCAAGATTGCACCACTGTACTCCAACCTGGATGACAGAGCCAGACCTTATCTCAAAAAAAATTTAAAAATTGTTTTCAAGTAGATTCCCTTTTTAAAAATAATCTTGAATTTTTTATATTTCAATATGACTAAATAATGTAATAAATACATATGTTAAATTAGGTTAGAATTTCATTTTGATCTCCTCACTAGATCTTCTTTCTATGGCAGGATGCAGACTCCTCTGAGCGTATCATTGCTCCCATGCGCTGGGGCTTGATCCCTTCTTGGTTCAAAGAAAGTGATCCTTCCAAGCTGCAGTTCAATACTACCAACTGTCGTAGTGATACCATAATGGAGAAACGGTCATTTAAGGTAGGTGTCTGGTAGCTGTTAATGCCTTGTATACCTGAGAAATAAAATAAGGTTCCAAGGGGTGTTTCCATCCTGGCCTACAGAGGACAACCAAAAATAAATAAATAAGATAAAAAAGAGTGTTCCCAGTTGTTAATATGGAATGCAATTTTGTTACTACATAACAAACTACACTTAACTTAGTAGTGTGAAACAAAATGATAAACATTATCTCTCATATTCTCTGAGTTGACTGGGCTCATCTAGGCAGTTTTCACTTAGAGGTTCTCATGTTGTAATTACGTGGCAGCTGAGGCTGGATGTCCAAGATGACTTCTTCACCCACATCTGACACTTCAGCTGGGATGACTAGAACAACTATAGAAGGCTTTCCACTTGCCTAGCTGGAGGGTGTCAGGATAGCCAGTCTTCTGTCATGGTGACTCATTTTCCCTAGAGTGCATGATCCAACAGCAGGATAGAAGATACAAGGCTTGGTCTTATAGCATCACTTAATCTTGGCAGTCATACAGCATTACTTATACTGCATTTTTTAATTGTTATCTAATTTTTTTTTTTTTTAAATAGACGCAAGGTCTGGCTATGTTGCCCAGGCTGGTCTCAAACTCAAGGGTTCAAGTGATCCTCCTTCCTGGGCCTCCCAAAGTGCTGGGATAACAGGTGTGAGCCACCACGTCCAGCCTACTTTTGTTGCGTTCTTTTGGTTACACAGAACCAGCCCAAATTCAGTATGGGAGGGGTCTACATGGGGTGTGAATACTGGGAAGCATGCTTCACTGGGGAGCCACATTTGAAGACTAGCTATCACAAGTACCTATTTGTTAGAAAAGAGGTGGTTGCTTTTATGTACATTATTTAATCTTTTCAACATCTGTGTGAGTTGTGACTTTTTTTACATATAAGAAAAGAGATGTACAGAGAAATTAACTTTTAAGATCACATATTGGAAGACTTTAGATTTTATTTATTTGTTTGTTTGTGATTTATTTATTTTAAGATGGAGTCTCATTCTTTGACCCAGGCTGCAGTACAATGGCATGATCTTGGCTCACTGCAACCTCTGCCTGCCAAGTTCAAGTAATTCTTGTTCTTCAGCCTCTCAAGTAGCTGGGACTACAGGTGTACACCACTATGCCCAGCTAATTTTTGTATTTTTAGTAGATATGGGGTTTCACCTTGTTGGCCAGGCTGGCCTCGAACTCCTGACCTCAAGTGATCCTGCCACTTTGGCCTCCCAAAGTGCTAGGATTACAGGCGTGAGCCATAACACTTGGCCCAGACCTCAGATTTTAACTCAAGTTCCAAGTAATGGCAGCCTGTGAAACATGATTGTATCACTAAGACCATATCTTGCTCACATTTTCCCTCAGGTGCCTCTGGGAAAGGGAAGACGCTGTGTCGTTTTAGCAGATGGATTCTATGAGTGGCAGCGATGTCAAGTAACAAGCCAGAGGCAGCCATACTTCATCTATTTTCCTCAAATCAAGACAGAGAAGGTATCATTATCAGCATTCACAATATATATTTGGAAAGGTACAGGGAAACAATGCAAAGGACATTTTTTTTTCTTCCCTCGTAGTTCTGTTTATTTATTTTAAAATGATAGCTTTGGCCCAGGACATTGGCTCACACCTGTGATCCCAGCACTTTGGAAGCCCAAGACAGGAAGACTGCTTGAGCCCAGGAGTTTGAGACCAGCCTGGGCAACATGGCGAAACCCCATCTCTACAAATAATACAAAAACTAGCTGGGCATGGTGGTGTTCACCTGTAGTCCCCGCTAGTCAGAAAGCTGAGGTGAGAGGATTGCTTGATTCCATGAGATAGAGGCTGCAGTTAGCTATGATCATACCCCACTGCACTCTAACCTGGATGACAGAGCAAGATTTTGTCTCAAAAAAAAATAAAGTAATAGCTCGTTGAGGGATAATTCACCATAAAATTTATCTTTTTAAAATGTGCAGTTCAGGAATGTTTTAGTATATTCAGAGTATGCAATCATTACTTCTGTCTAATTTCAGAATATTTTTGTCACTCTACAAGGAAACTCCATATCCGTTAGCAATCACTCTTCATTCTCCACTATGCCCAGCCCCTGGCAAACACCAATCTACTTTCCATCTCTATGGACTTGCCTATTTTGGACATTTCATAAAAATGGAATCATAGAATATGTGATCTTTTGTGACTGGCATCTTTGACTTAGCATAATGTTTTCAAGATTCATCCATGTTTGTCATGGATCAGCACTTTATTCCTTTTTTGTATGGATAGACCATATTTTGTTAATTAATTCATCAATTGATAGACACTTGGATTGTTTCCACTTTTTGGTTATTATGAATAATGCTGCTATGAACATTCAGGTACAAGTTTTTGCATGGATTATATTTTCATCTCTCTTGGTTAGAGGCCTAGGAGTTGAATTGCTAGGTCATATCATAGCTCTACGTTTAACATTTCCCTCGTAAAACTTTCATTGTGGCTGGGTGCAGTGGCTCAGGCCAGGCATGGTGGCTCACACCTATAATCCAGCACTTTGGGAGGCCAAAGCAGGTGGATTGCTTGAGCTCAGGAGTTCTAGACCAATTTGGGCAACATAGCAAAAACCCATGTTTACCAAGAATACAGAAAATTAGCTGGGCATGGTCCCAGCTACTTGGGAGGCTAAGGTGGGAAGACAGTTTGAGCCCGAGAGGTGGAGGTTGCAGTGAGCCGAGATCACTGAACTCCAGCCTGAGTGACAGAGTGAGACCCCATCACAAAACAAAACAAAAACCCTTTCACCGTAAGACATAATTTGAACTGTTAATTTTAAAACATTATCAGGAGATTGAAAACAAATCAGGCATACCAACATCATATTTTATTTTTAGATTATTTAGTCTGACACTGCTAAAGCACCTGAATTCTTACTGCAGTTTGCTTGTTAAAACTGGGAATTGTTTATTCAGCCGTCATCTCATTTTGGGAACTGGAAATAGTGTTACCGAGTAAAAGGGGCTTGCTACCTAATGTGCTAAAAGCCAATACCATGATGCTGAGTAGCTGGTCCCAGCTACTTGGCAGGTTGAGGTGGGAGGATAGCTTGAGCCTGAAGGGGTGGAGGTTGCAGTGAGCCGAGATTGCACCATTGCACTCCAGTCCGGGTGACAGAGGAAAGTTTTTTATTGCAAGTTGACTAGCAAGAATACAAGAGTCCAGATCTGTTTCCCTAGATTGCTTTAAGGCAGTACTTTTATTTAAAAAAAGGTTTAGGAAATGGATTCTGGGATTGGTAGGTGATTGGTGGAAGGAAAGGGGAGGTCTGGAAAGTCTTCAGGTATGTGTAGTTATCTCTTCCTGCCTCCATATAGGTCTCATGTAAATTCAGGGGGAGTTAGTATGAAACATGGTGGAAATTCAGGCTGTGATAATAAGCAAGCTTGTTCTGCATATACTCTAGTCAGTTATATATAGCTTCCAATCAATTCAGCCAGTTTGGTTATCTTATAGGCAGAGGGAGTTTTACTGTTTCAGCAAGCTGTTTCTTTTCTTATGTGCTATCCTATAAGCCCAAGAATTTAGTCATTGGTTTTTTGTGTGTTTCTTTCTTTTTTTTTTTTTTTTTTGTAACTTTTTGGATACAATTTCAGTAGTCAAGAGAGTTTGCTTCACCCTCAGAAAATCCCCTGTCTATCAGTGATGGGTGCATCAAAATCTCATAAATCACCATTAAAGAATTTATTTATGTAACCAGACACCACCTGTTCCCCAAAAACCTATTGAAATAAAATACAAATTAAAAAGAAAATCCCCTTTCAATCTTGAACAAATGATTTGGTTCAAGACAAGGTTAATTTATAAAACATCTATCAATTATTATTATTATTTATTATTTTTTTTTGAGATGGAGTCTTGCCCTGTCGCCCCGGCTGGAGTGCAGTGACACAATCTCAGCTCACTGCAACCTCCTCCTCCTGAGTTCAAGTGATTCTCCTGCCTCAGCCTCCCGAGCAGCTGGGACTACAGGCGCCCGCCACCATGCCTGGCTAATTTTTGTATTTTTAGTAGAGATGGGGTTTCACCATGTTGGCCAGGCTGGTCTCGAACTCCTGTCCTTGTGATCCACCTGCCTCGACCTCCCAAAGGGCTGGGATTACAGGCGTGAGCCACCACGCCCAGCCACATGTACCAATTATAATAGCACATATTAAGCACTTAGTATAAGTCAGTTGCTCTGTCTAGGAACTTAATGTGTATTGGCTTAATATACATTCTGTTTTTGTTTTTTGTTTTTTGTTTTTTGTTTTTTTGAGATGGAGTTTCACTCTTGTTGCCCCAGGCTGGAGTGCAGTGGTGGGGTCTTGGCTCACTGCAACCTCCACCTCCTGGGTTCAAGTGATTCTCCTGCCTTGGCCTCCCAGATAGCTGGGATTACAGGTGTGTGCCATCATGCCCAGCTAATATTTGTATTTTTAGTAGAGACAGGGTTTCACAATGTTGGCCAGGCTGGTCTTGAACTCCTGACCTCAGGTGATCCACCGCCTTGGCCCCACAAGTGCTAGGATTACAGGCATGAATGACTGCACCCGGCCTTGAACTGAATTTTTATACTACAGATAGTTGAGCCTTCCTTTTTGATTCAGTCTGACAATCATTCTTTTAATTTGTGTTTAAAACATTTAATTTAATGTAATTATTGATGTGATTGGGTTAAAATCCATTGTTTTGCTGGTTTTCTATTTGTTCCATCAACTCTTTATTCCTTTTTTCCTAATCTTTCTGTTTGGGGAATAATCTTTTATGATTGTGTTTCATCTCCATTATTGGCTTATTGTTTTTACTTCTTCAAAAAATGTTTTTAGTAGTTGCCCTACAGCTTACAGTATACATCTTAAATTAATAACGTTCTGTCTTTATGTACTACACTACTATTGAAGAGACCTTACAACAGTATTCTCTAAGTTCCTCCTGTCTTTTGGGCTACTATTATGCATTTTATTTTTACATATGCTATAAACTTAGAATATATTGCTATTATTTTATTGTGGATGGTTAATTATATTTTAGAGTGGTAAAAAATAGCAAAAGTCTTTGTACATGTATCTTCATTTTAGCCATTTCCATGGATCTTCACTTATTTGTACAGATCCAGTTTTCTGTCTGGTATTATAGTCCTTCCGCCTGAAGGACTTTTTCTCGTAATGTGGGTCTGCTGGTAATGAATGCTTTTCTTTTTGTCTGAAAAAGTCCATTTAAAAAAACATGATTTTTTTATTGAGATACAATTCACATATAATAAAATTCACCCTTTAAAAGTGTACAGTGGTTTTTAGTGTATTCAAAACCTTAGCCAGGCATGGTGGGTCACACCTATAAAATGAGCCATGCATGGTGGTTTGCACTGTGGTCCCAGCTATGTGGGAGGCTGAGGTGGGAGGATCACTTGAGCCCCAGGAGGTCAAGGTTACAGTGAGCCAAGATCACACGACTGCACTCCAGCCTGGGTGACAGAGCAAGACCCTGTCTCAAAAAAAAAAAAGAAAACCCCACAAAATGTTGTGCAGCCATCATCACTATCTAATTCCAACCCTAAATAAAATTATACCCATTAGTAGTCACTTTTCATACCTCCCTGCCTTTAACCCCTGGCAACCACTGTCTTTGTTTTTGAGAGGTATTTTCAAAATGTATAAGATTCTGGATGAGTGGTGTTTTATTTTCTTTCAGTACTTTAAAAAAATGCACTTCACTGTCTCTGGCTCCCATAGATTCTTTTGAGAAGTCGAGTGTAACTGTCTTTTTTTCTTTTGCATGTAATGCATAAATGTGTACTTCTCTCACTGCCTGGTCCACTTCCCTCCACCCTTGCCTTTAAGATTTTCTCTTAGGGCAGCTGTTTAAATACACTGCGTGTATGTGTTTTGGCCTATTCTCTTAGCTGCTTGGATCTGCAGTTTGATATCGTTCATAATTTATGGAAATTTCTTAGGTTTTTCCTCTTCAAATATTTCTTCTGCACCATTTTCTCTTTCTGGGATTCTAATGACACATGTGTTACGATTTAATTGTCCCATTGTTCTTGGATATTCACTCTATTTTTCTATCTTTTTTTCTCTGTTTCAGTTGGATAATTTTCATTTACCTTTTTTTTTTTTTTT